GCCTCGCAGAGCGCCAACAAGTTCAGCGTCAGGGTGTTGCTCTCCGCGACTCTCGCGGCCTCCCAGGCCCTCAGGCCTGGCAGACCCCAGGGGCACAGCCGCGATCGCACTGGCGGCGGCCCAGGTCGGCGACGATTGTAGCGCGCCCGCGACCAGGTCGAGCAGGGCGGGCCGCCCAGCACGATGTCCACCCAGCCGCCCTCGCACAGCTCCATCAAGGCGGAGAAGGTGGAGGGGTTGGCCAGGTCCCACCGCGGGTCGTCCAGGAGATCGGCGGAAAGGAAGAGCACCCTCAAGCTCCGCTCCTTCGCCAGCCTCTCGACCACCTCCTGAACGTCACCACGCCGCCGACGGCCAGCGAAGAGATGCATCGCCACCGTCGCACGCTCGTCCTCCCTCTTCGCCCGCTTCACGGCCTCTATCCACTCTGCCACGCTGTAGCCCGCCGGGCTAGGCGGCGCGGCGCGGCAGCTGGACTGCTGCCCGAGCCAGTCGTCGTCGTAGCGATGCTGCTGAGCGTTCTCAGGTCCGGCATCCACGCCGTCGCCATCCTCCAGCCCCCCGTCCTCGGGCGGCGAGGTGCGTGGCACACCGCTGGCAGCGCCGTCGGCGGGTGCCGCGGCGCCCGCAAGCGCCCCCAAGCGTGCGCCCACGCCCAGCAGCGCCCTGCCGATGATCGCCATGTTGACCGTCATGAGCAGGCGCACGGAGTGCGAGCCGCCCATGGCCAGGCGATGGTAGCAGGGGGCTATCCAGCCCGTCGGCCCCACCATGTCGCGCAGGCGCTGGCTGAGCTTCGCCCACACCCAGCAGGCGCGGATTGGCGGGCATGCCTGCCACTTGGCCATCCACGCGGGGACGCGGAGGCGGGTGAAGGCATTGTCCTCGTCGAACGCCGCCACTCGCCACTCATCCGTCGGGACGCACATGGAGGCGATGGCCGCCCCGCCGTGCATCCCGTGGTCTCCGCGCTGGTGCGGGTCGGCCCACGCGTAGTTGCTGGCACACATCATCAGAACCTTCCTCTGCTTGGCGGGGTCTTTCTTGGGCACACAGCTGAACCCGCAGTAGGCCTGGACGTCGCTGGGGGCCTCGAACGTCCACATGTCCTTCGGCAGATCGTCCCGCATCAAGTAGCGGGCGTACTCGGACGTCGAGCCCCCCACGAAAGCGAAACGTTCCTCCAGCTCCTCGAAGATGACCCCTGACTTGCCGCTGTAGTCCAGAACGTTCCGCTCGTCCGAGTAGTACTGGCGCTCGCCGTCGGGCAGCGCCTCCAGCAGGTCCACGACCATGTCATCCGGCGGTTCTGCCACCGCCGCTGCGCACATCGTCACGTGCCTGCTCACACCCTTGCGCTCTCCAGTGTAGGTGTCCTGCGGTCCTCTGTCGCAGGCAAGATCCGTCCCTTGACCGCCTGTCGGGGCAAGCCCCCGGCAGTCGCGCTCGTACCGCGCCGCGTCCTGTAACGCGTACTGCTGCACGAGCTGCCAGGCCAGCATCATCTCGTCGTCGCTCGACTCGCGCTGGCCCGCTGGTCTCGCCTCCAGGGATCCGCGGTCCATCCCATTCATGAGCTCGATGAGCCCGCAGGCCCGACGCCACACACGCATGCGTCGAGCCCAGCGCGTCCTCAACCTGCCGGAAGAGGAAGCTCCTTGTTGTGGCCGATGAGGTAGAGGAACGGGGAAGAACGACCTGGCCTCGGCCTCCTTCCACTGCAGGGCCCGCGTCAGCGAGCCAGGCAGACCCGTCACTGGCATTCTAGGCTGCACCCGCGGCGGCGGGGCACCTACTCGGACCGAGGGAGGGTCGTAAGCCCCTCGGTCCGCCAGTGGCTGTCAAGCCTGGGGCTTGCCTCGGCCCGAGGGCTTACCCCCTCGGCCGCGGCCGCGCCCCCCGCCGTCGCCACCTCTGCCTCTGCGGCCACCAGCTGCCTCGGCGCCGCTGCCAGCTCCACCTCCGTATCCCCCGCCACGGCCGCCGCCTCGGCCGTCGCGCTTGCTGGCGGCGTGGACCCTCTCGTCGCGCTGGTGCTCGGCCTTGCTGTGGGTCGTGGCCTCGGTCACCAGCCATGTGGGGGCCAAGTCGGCGGCCGACCCGGGCGGGCGAACAGCCAGCATCGCCGCCGCCCCCACCTTGTCCTTCGTCCGCATCTCGTAGACGTAGCTGGCTAGCCGCCTCAAGTGCAACTCCAGCGCGTCGTCGGACGCCAGGCGGGTGAGCAGCTCGGACTGGGTCTTGCACCCGCCCAGCAAGTAGTCCACGTTGGTGGCGGCGGTCCACAGGTCGGTCCAGACCGCCGTGTGCCGCTGGCCCGTCACCTCCTGCGACAGCCAGTCGCGTGCGCTGGCCGCCCCCGCGCCCCGCATGGTGCGGTAGATCTCCGGCGCCGCGCGCCTCAGATCCGGCGGGAGGCTCAGGTTCCACCGGCTGTCCTCCTGCTGCTGCTGGGTCTGCGGGGCCACGGCCCACCCAGGGGAGGCCTGCATGCCCCCGCCGTGCGGCGCCGTGGCAGAGGAGAGCAGCGCGTCCAGCTCCTGCTGCAGCGACCCTCCTGGCGGGGACTTCGTCCCCGCGCCCACGTAGCCGTGGGTTTGCAGCACTCGTCGCAGGTCAGGGTGCAGCCCCAGGGAGCCATCCACGGCCGCGATTCTCTCCCAGAAGTGCCAGGCCCAGTACACGTTCGTGGCAGCCTGCGCCTGGAACTCGCGGGGCGTGGCCCCTACCATTTGCACCTCTCGCCCTAGCTTCACCGCATCTGCAGGAGCATGAGGCGCATGGAAGCTGAGCCCTGCCGCTGGCACGGCCACCTCCGGCGGCAGCTGTGGCTGCTGCTGCTGCTGCTGCTGCTGGGCCGCCGTCTGGCTGAAAGGGCCTGGCACCTCGCTCCCCTGGGCGAACGCCCGCAGCGCCGCCAGGTCCTGCGAGCCGGGCTTCGCCGTCGCAGCACCCGCGCCCGCGCCCTCGGCAGGTGGGGCCCACGGGGGAGGCGGCAACGACGCGAGCCCAGGCGGGTGCAGCGGGCCCGTAGGTACCTCCGCGGCCGCCGCGCAGCTCCCCTTGGGCGTCGGGGCCCCCGGGGCGTCCCAGGCCGCGCTGTCGCCCTCGGCGGCAGTGAGGTCCAGGCCGTCCCCGCCGCTGCTGAGCGCTGCGGCGAAGGCCGCCCGCCGCCTCCAGCGCGTCCACCAGGCGACCGCACGCTCGGGGACGCGGCGCACGAGCAGGAAGATCCCGAACAGCCCCACTGCAGCGCCCGCCAGGCGGTGTCGCCTGGAGTCGGCCCACAGCACCACCACCAGGCTGGACAGGAAGAGGCCGATGCCCAAGTGCAGCACCCAGTCGACGGGCAGCGTGTCGCCGTCCTCGCCGACTGCACGGGCCCAGATCCGGTCCGCGACCTTCTCCCAGCCGTCCGTGTCGGCGGCCACTCGTCTAATCCGACTCTCCGCCTGCGTGGAGAACGTGGCGGCCTCCGTGAACCCCCAGAGGGCCTCGGCCATCTCGGAGCCCGGGACCTCGGGGCTCCCCAACGCCAGGCGGACTGCCACTGGGTCCAGCGCTGCCTCCAGCCGTCGCGACTCGTCCAGCTTCGAACGAGGGGCCCGCCCTGCGTTCAGCGTCGATCTCACCTTCAGGACGAGCCCCGCGACGTCGTCGTCCGAGACGTCCGCTCCAGCGGCCCGCAGCGCGTCGGTCCCCGCCTTCTTGGCACCGGCCGAGACCGCCATCCAGCTCCGCCTGGCGTCCGCCGCGCCTTCGGCGCACGGCGCCCAGCACACCAGCTATCCGCGGCCTGCTGCACCTGGGCAGCGCCGCCGCGGCCTCGCACAAGTCTTCGATTCCACGGGTGGAGTCCGCTGCTCCCGTCAGGGCGCCATGCCGCGCCCTGCTGCGAGGTGGGCTGGGCGCCCAGACCTCGCGATAATCTGTACCAGATTGGAGCCAAATGATACGGTTGCGGAGCAGGCCGTGCAGCACACGCGAGGGCAGGGGGGCCTTCACGGGCAACCAAAACACAACCTACCGAGCCCACCCGTTTTGGAGGGCCGAGGGGAGCCAGGCCGGGAACGCGGCCCACCGGCGAAAAGGCCCCCCAACAAGCTGGCACGCCCCTGCGGGCTCCGAGGCTCCAAGGAAAATTCCACGATCCCACCCCAAACTGTCGGTGCACATCAACACTCATGCTCTACGATTATTATCCCATCATCATAATCATCATCATCATCATCATCATCATCATCATCATCATCATCATCATCATCATCATCATCATCATCATCATCATCATCATCATCATCATCACCACCATCATCGCCGCTAGCATCAGCATCACCATCACGGTCCGCGGACGTCTCCGGCCGCCCCCCGCGCGGAGGCCCCCGGAGGCCCCCAGAAGGATCCCCAAAAGGGATGACAAGGGCTCGTCTGGCCCCTCCTCGGCTTCCCTCCTCCTCCTCCCCCTCCTCCTCCTCCCCCTCCTCCTCCTCCTCCTCCTCCTCCTCCTCCTGGGTGGCGCAATGGTGGCTAAGTGGAAAACGGGCTAGAAGTGGATGCTGAGGTGGGTTGTCTGGCCTGACCACATGCACACACGGGGTAAGAGCGCCCCAAGTGGCTCAACGGGGTCGCCATTTTCGCTAGGGGTGCGGAGCCGACTCGGCCCGGATCCGTACCCCGCCCCCAAGCAACTGAGGGCACTTCTGGCCTACTTGTAAGCCAGGCTAGGCCAGTTACAGCCCACCTTCGCATCCATTAGTTACCCATCGTTCGGAAGAAGTGTGTAGAAGCATGAAGTAGGAAGGCGTTGGAAGTAATTAGATTGGGTGTCCGCCCGCCCCCGAAAGATGACGGAAGACGTGAAACCATGAGACCATTCAAATAAAAAGGCGCTTTAAAGTAGATTGGAATCTGGGAATCCAAAAATACCCAATTCCAACGACCGATGGGTAACCACCGCAGTGATCCATGTGGCCATCCTTCGAGAAACTCGGCCCAGACGCCTCAAACTCCACCTTCCAGTCGTCGATGGTCGAGAAGAGCCGCAGCCCGTCGAGCCGCAGGTCCAGGTCGTCCAGGTCCTGGCAGCGGTGCCCGCGCCGCTGGCTCCAGGGAGAGGATCGATGATCCTAAGAACGCATGTCAGCGCTAACGTGTGCTGGTCCACCGAAGCACCTCAAAAACTACACAGATGGTGTAACGATGGCCGACGCGGGCCGAACGGGGTAAGCACGCATTGGGCTAACACACGTCCTGAAGCTAATCGAAAGGAAGACCCAGACCTCCAACGCATTGAAAAAGTCAAGACGGGAGTTCTCTCAATGTTCTGCCTCGGGGGGCCCTCGTAGTGCCCCAGGACTGTGAAGGAACGACTCGACATGAAGAACCGGCCCCTGGGAAAGGGTCGTGACTTCCAGGGGCCGCGTCTTGAAACATGATCGACCCACGAACCCGGAAAGGGATGTAGAAATGTGAAGCATGGCGTCGTCTCCAAGACGTCAAACTTTTGTGACGGGCAAGTACAATGCTCAAACTAACGATCGTGATGCATCGTGCCACGGGCTGTTCTGTACTGCGCCCTGCTGTTCCGTGCTGTGCTGAGTTCAACGTGTCACGCCGCGTCGAACGTGGATCAAGCCGTCCTTGGCGTCAGAATCGTAGCCGAACTGATTTGGATCTTAAGCTCGAACTGCCTCAACGCATAGCTCGGGCTTGTTGTAATCGAGAAGCACGGGGCGCTCGACCAGCTCGAGATCAAGATCGGACTCAGTTCCGAAGCCGTCGCCCGAGACATTCAGTTCCGCAACGCAGCGAACCGAGCGCGACCACGACAGACGGAGGAGCAGCATGCGGGGCGTTCTTTGATCAGCTCGAACTCAAAATCCGACTCAGTTCCGAACCCAAGAAGGGATTGAGAACTGCAAGGCATGTAACCGTTTTCTAAGGTCTTCAATTGCATACGCACTTGGGCGATGCCAGGAGGACATGCCAGGGGGAGGTGCTGCGGAACGTCCCAAGGGATGCGCCAGGGGACGTGCCAGGGGACGTGCCATGGGCACACACCGCGGGACATGCCAAGGGGACGCGCTACGGAACGTGCCAGTGGACGTGCCACGGGACGTGCCAGGGGACACGCCGCGCGACGTGCCAGGGGAACTCGCCACGGGACGCGCCACAGAACGTGCCAGAACAGGTGCCAGGCGACGCGCCAGGGGACGCGCCAGGGAACGCGTCAGGGAACGTGCCACGGGACGCCCCTGACCCAGGGCCAGGACCCCTCGCAAGTTGCGCTGCGTCCGCGCTCCCAGGGCCACGATCCCTGGTAAATTACGCTGCGTCCGCGCTCCCGGGGCCACGAGCCATCGTCAACTACGCTGCGTCCGCGCGCCCCTCGTAAACTGCGCTGCGCCCGCGCTCTCCGTGGGCCACGATCCCTCGTGCACTGCGCTGCGTCCGCGCTCCCCCAGGGCCAGGAACCCGAACAGATTGCGCTGCGTCCGCGCTCCCAGGGCCACGATGCATCGTAAATCACGCTGCGCCCGCGCTCCTGGGGCCACGATCCCTTGCAAACGACTCACGCTGCGTCCGCTCTCCCTGGACCACGGTCCCGTGTCAATCACGCTGCGTCCGCGCCCCCAGGGCCGCGCTCCCTCGTGCTTCACGCCGTGTCCGCGCTCCTGGAGCCACGTTCCCAAGTTCACTGTCCCGTGTTCGGGCTCTCAGAACCACCTGGGCAGCCTGGGGCGCCCAAGCCGCTCAAGTTCTGAATAACAAGCGTTTCGCTCAAGACGTGCTCAGATACTCGACGCGCAGGGCGCGCCATCCTCGAGTGGTCACGCCAAAAATATACTTCTTCATTTTGTGACTAATCTCGAAGCCTCCAGACCTTGAATTGTATCGCTGGTTCTGCGCAAACCGCTCAGCACCATGTTTTTTACGGGAGGGCACGTGTGTCTGCGGACCCCCGCATGCATCGAGGAGCCGAGACAAAGGGGTCACACTTTGCTCGAGCGAGCACGCGCGAAACGCATGCTTCCCCTTAGGAAGCATCTTACCTTGTTACGTATCGCAAGTAATTCCGCCGGTTCGCTTCGAGTGGATACCGGGGGTGAACAACTACAGTCGGGGCGTTGACCTAAGGAACCCTAAATAAGGAACCAGGCCTCTTTATTCATATGTTCAACTTCGACTTCCCACCGAAGACCTAAGAAAAACAGAAGGCGAAAGGAACAACGATTCAAGAACACTGAGCCCCTCCAAAACGAAAAGGGCTCCTTCTGCAGAGCCCCGGCAGTACATGAGAACCCTCGGCCAAAGACCTTCCTGGGAAAACCGAGGACACAGGATGTCTGGGACGGCACCTGCTCGAGGAGGCCGGGGCGGGATCGGCCAGCACCGTCAGCGTGCAGCCGAGCCAGATCGAAACACGCACGTCGGATCGTGTCGGCACGGCACTACGGGGCGTGAAAACGACCACAGCCACTGCTTTTCTTTTGTTGCCACCTTCCAGCCCGCAGAAAGAAAGCAGTGGTTGTGGCCATTTTCGTTGAGCTTGGCACCAGGGAAATGACCACAACCACTGCTTCTTTTTCGGCCGGCTGGAAGGCGGCGCAAACAAAAAGCAGTGGCTGTGGTCATTTTCCCGTCCCGCAGGCACGGAGTCGAAAAATCGAGCCGGGTCGGCCGCGCCAGGGTGCGCAACAGAGCCGTGCAAGCATCGGGCCGCGTCGGACCGTCAGAATGTCGGAATCGAATCGGGAAGGGCCGACCGGAATCGAGATCTCATCGGATCCGTCGGGTCGACATGGACCCTGGATGGGCGGGAGGCGAGGGGGGGAAGAAGGTTCGATGCTCGAGGCACAAGGTCCTTGGACCTTTCGTCGCCCTCTGAATCTCTCCAGGGGGCTCCTCGTCACCACGACCGGACTCGCCGCGAAACCTTCGTCAACATGTGCCCCAGGACACGTCGGGGAGTCGATGCGGAGGGGTTGGAGGCGAAGAAGAGGAGGGGAGGCGGGACGAAGGGGAGAAAGGTCTTGGAACGCATGGGCGCACCTCCCGCACTGCTCGGAGAATTCGATCAAGGACCGACCGGCGCATGGGGGGAGGTCCACGGGAAGGCAGCGAAGGGTGGTGGGTGGTCGCTGTATAAGGGAAACAATGAAGGGGCCCTGGGACACACAAACAAATACACACAAATAAAAAGTGTCCCCATATTTTCCCATACTTTCTGGGTTTTTGTCTGCCCCCCCACTTCCATATTTTCCCATATTTTTGGGAATCGCCGATTAATTGTGTCTGTGTGTTTTTTCCCCTCCTGAAACAAGTCCCGGGCAGAGCAACACGCACCACGACCACGACGACGCCGACGACAACGACGGCGACAGAGGCGAGGCGCGCAGAGGATCCGCACCGAAGCACAGAATTGGGAAAGGGCCCGCCCTGCAGGTTCGGCTCAACAGCACATCGTGGAGTGGTGCTGCAGCCTCCCGGGAGCACAGGCCCCCCCAGAGCAACAGCCAGACAAGTCGGGTTTGCACCCTCGTGCCTTGCTGGGCTCTGGGCGCGTTTCGGCACCCTCTCCCCCAACCTCGTCAGGGCCACCGACAGGGGGGAGGGCAGCGGTGCCGACGCGTCCCATAGCTAAGAAGCTCAAAGCGCCGCGGCTCAGAGTGCCGGGAAGACAGACAGACAGACGAACGGACGGACAAACAGACAGCCATGGGGGGAGGTCCAGGAGAGGGCAGCAGGGGGGAGGAAGAGGACGAGGAGGAAGGGGGGGCGGAAGGGGGAGGGAGGGAGGGCAGGGAGGGAGGGATGCACAGGAGCGGCGTGGGGTAGACGAGGGAGCAGAGACGACACTAGGGGAACAAAAAGAGACATAAACATAACAACTCGGAGGTCCGCACGGATTTCTCGGATCGGCGCTGTGGCCCCCCGGCGGCGCCTCCGGCGCCGCCCCTGGCGCGCTCCGCGCGCCAGGGGGGTCCAGCGCCGATCCGGGAAATCCGCGCGCACCTCCGAGTTGTTATGTTTATGTTTCTTTTTGTTCCCCTAGTGTCGTCTCTGCTCCCTCGTCTACCCCACGCCGCTCCTGTGCCTCCCTCCCTCCCTGCCTCCCTCCCTCCCCCTTCCGCCCCCCCTTCCTCCTCGTCCTCTTCCTCCCCCCTGCTGCCCTCTCCTGGACCTCCCCTAGACAAGGAGCGAGGAGAGAGGGAGGAGGGGCACAAGGGCCTCGAGAGGCTGCGGCGGGCAGCGGCGTCGGCGAGGCGAGCGGCGGGCCGGGGGGGCGCCCGAGGCAGGACCGACGGGCGCCCGCCCCGCCCCGCCCTCCGCCATCCGAGGGGCTCCGGGCGGGCGCCCAGATCTTGTCGAATTCCGGCGGCGAGCGAGGGGGGGAAGTGTAGAGGAAGGAGAAGGAGAAGAGGAAGGAGGAGGAGAAGAGGAGGAGGAGGAAGAAGAAGAGGAAGGAGAGGAAGGAGAATAATAATAATAATCAGAAGAAGAAGGAGGAGAAGAAGAAAGAGAAGAAGAGACGAGGGAAGAAGACACCCCGCGAGACCGCGGGTCCTGCCTCGGGCGAGGGCCGCGGCGGGCGGCCGCGCCCCCACGCGCTCACGAGCGCGGCGTGCCCCTCAGTGGGGCGACGTCGAGCTCCGCGGTCGCGTGGCCATCGGAGCCGACGGCGTCATGCAGCTCCTTGCGTTCCCGAGCTCGCTGTGCTGCGTACTCTCGTGAATGGCCTGCCCCCTCGCCGCGCAGGGGGGCGGACCACCCGTCTGTGTCCAGCAGGCTCTCGTCCCCGCCAAGCTGGTCGAACGGGTCATCCTCGTCGTCCATTGTCGCACGAGTCCGCTTGGCCCATGGGGGTGCTGTCGTCGTTCGCGAACTTGCAGCCATTGCGATCGCCGTCTCCGCAACAGGCCTCACCCGTCGCCTGGCAGGGGGTCTGGCCGCGATCACACCGCGGCTCTCGCACGTCTGAGGGCTCACCCCTCGCCTGGCTGGGGATACTGCACCGTGCTCATCATGCCCGCAATCTTCCCGCATCGGTGAGACCCCCAGACCGTACCTCAGGTTGTGTTCGTAGAGCTCTGGCGATCCCCTCGGCTGGGCGAACCGATCTTCCCACGCCAAGTGCAGCTGCCGCTAGCTCCGTGGGCCCCGTGAAACGCCTCGTCGGGGCCCAAGCCCTTGTCTTCCGCTACGTCATGCACTCTGGGCAAGTCAGGAGCCTCCACCGTGCCAGTGGGGCCTGTCACGCCCCCTCCTGCAGATGAACTTCTCGCACGACTTCCTTCCGTCATCACAGGCCAACCCCCTCGCCTAGCAGGGGTCCAGCTCGCCGCCTCCTCAGGCCGAACCCCTCGCCTGGCAGGAAGCATAGCTTCACATCGCTGAAAACCAGCAGGCCGCTGACCTAGAGGACGAATGTGCCGACGATCCTCCTCCTCGGAGCAGCGTTGAGGACGCCACTCTTGTCGAGCAAGGTGTTGTTGTCGTTAGCGTGTTGCTTCGCCTGTTCTTCCTTTTTCGCGGATCCTTGTCATTCGCCTTTCGACATCACATGGTCCATCAACTACTGCAACCGTTGTTGCGAATCGAGCAGGTACTGCAGCCACTCGCAACTGTTGATGAACTGGAACGTTGGCGTCGATGTGCCTGGCGAGGTGATCATGCGGCCCGATGGTTGTCCGCAAGTTCACGAGTACTTCACGTCCCTTGTTGGATAGCCGAGAACACTGCTCACGTAGCTTGAACTTGCGACGCTGTTGGGCCCACACACCACATCCCGTGAACACCAATACTTTAGCCTTGCACTTCATGTCGCTCAGATCGTCCCTCTGGTTGACCGCCACTAACTTGTGCCCCATCTGGTTGACTAGGCTGTCCCTGAGGAACGCTGGTATACCACTGCCAACATTGACCTCGTCGTTGCCAGGCTGGTCAAGGCAGCCCACGCGAGCTCGAACAATAATGGCATAAACATAAGCCTTCGGAGCTTGGATCTGCACTGGACTCCCCTAGCGGCGCCTCTGGCGCGCTCCGCGCGCCATGGAGGGGGGTCCAGCACCGATCCAAAAAATCAGCGCGGACCTCCGACAGTTTATATTCATGCCTGTTTTTGTTCCGCGAGATTCAGCCCAAGCAAGCTCGCCAGCTGGTGTCCCTTGGGGTCGGCCAGTCGAGGGCTGGGTACACGCCTTCGGCGAGCGGCTTCGGCAGCCTCATCCTCGTCCTGATGAGCGTGCGATGGGCCACCGCCTGGGAAGCCTCTCAGAAGTGCTACACTACCCGCCGCCTTGGTCCAGACCGCGCGGGCACTCTCACCGGATACGTTAGGGGGGTGGAGACCCGCGCCTATCGGTTACCTGCTGGCGCAGGCTGGGATGCGAGTGCACCCACTCGACTGCCAGCTGTTTCTGTGAGAACTCCGAGGCCATGGCCCAGAAGGTCCGCCAGAGCTCACACAGGGCGGTGCGAGGCACCAGCACCAGCGGCCGAGGCCCTGGCGAGCTACGTGAAGTCTGTCGCGAGGGTAAGATCCCTAGGGCCCTTGACTGACGGCCTCGATGGCTGCGAAGATCTCACCAGCGCCAGTTCGCATCCTGCGAAGGGAGCGGCACCACGCCGTGGGCACAGAGGCGAGGACCGTGCCGGCAGCATCGACGGCCACGAAGCCACGGCAAGCACGAGCAAGAAGGTGATCGCGCACGAGCAAGCGCGGTTGTACGAGCACGGGCACGAGCAGGGAGCAGGGAGCAGGGAGGAGGGAGGAGGGAGGAGGGAGGAGGGAGGAGGGAGGAGGGAGGGAAGGAGGGAGGAGGGAGGAGGGAGGAGGGAGGAGGGAGGAGGGAGGAGGAGGGAGGAGGGAGGAGGGAGGAGGAGGGAGGAGGGAGGAGGAGGAGGAGGAGGAGGAGGAGGAGGAGGAGGAGGAGGATGCAACATGCTGAAGCCGTCAGCAGGCATCGCGCCCCAGACCCGGCGCCGGCAGCCCCTCCGAGCGCCCCTCCGAGCGCCCGGTCTCCACCAGGCCAGCGGCTGACCACGCCGCGTCGATGGCCGCTCCATCTCTTGGCCTCCTCCTCCTCCTCCTGCTGCTCCTCCTCCTTCTCCTGCTCCTCCTCCTCCTCCTCCTCCTCCTGAGGAGGAGGAGCAGGAGCAGGAGGAGGAGGAGGAGGAGGAGCAGGATGAGGAGGAGGAAGATGAACGGAAGGAAAAGGAGGAGGAGGAGGAGAAAGAGGAGGGGGAAGGAGGACGAAGATAAATAGCAGCAACAGGAACTGAAGCGGAAGGAGCGGAAGGAGCAGGAGGACCAGGAGACGGCGGAGGAGGGGACATGAGGGGGGCGAGAACGCTGAAACATTAATCGGATATAATAAAGGGGCCAATTCTTGAGCGAGAGCGACATCCTGTACGACGGGAGCAAAGCGCCGTTCCGAAAGTCAGGGAGCACCATTCTGAACCACCGACAACAAGCGGATCCCGACAAACACAGAAGAAGAAGTCGGGTGCAAACCCGACGAATAAAACAGCATGTGGAGAGGGCGAGACATCTTCTGGACACAACCATTGTCAGAGGAGAGTCGTATTCATCTTGCGTAACTACATAACCGCAGAATTCGAACGGTTCGCGCGGACTTCTTGGATCGAGGCTGGACCCCCCTCCGCTGGGGCGCGGGGCGCGCCAGGGCGGGCGCCAAAGGCACAGCTAAGGGGGCACTGTGCAAATCCAGGAACCCCTTCGCCAGTCTGCAAAAATGATGCCCGGCAGATGTTTCCTCTTTTTCTGCTTACTGCTACTGTTCAGAGTGAGGGGGCCGAACGGTCACTAATTGCCCCTGGGTGCGTGACTGAAGTGAAGACCCGTGGTGAGGATTACGGCTGTTGCGCTGCTTCTGTTGTTGTTGTCGTCGTCCCACCCGCGACCCACCCGCGACCCACCCCGCGACCCATCCGCGACCCACCCCGCGACACACCTGCGACCCACCACGCGACCCACCCGCGACCCACCAGCGACCACCCTGCGACCCACCCCGCGACCCACCCCGCGACGCACCCCGCGACCCATCCGCGACCCACCCGCGACCCACTTGCGACCCACCCGCGACGCATCCCGCGACCCACCCGCGACCCACCCGCGACACATTTACGCTCCACCCGCGACCCACCCGCGACCTACCCACATTGGTTTAACGAAAAAATCGGCGCCTGCGACGGGCTCCTTGTATATTTTGTGGAACTTCGGCGCCTGCGGCGGGCTCATCCAGAGTCTCGCAAATTGCCGACGCCCCCACCGCCACCTCACTCTTATCCGCATCTGCATCTGGGAGGTGCTACGTTTTCTTTGTATTATTATTATTATTATTATTATTCTTCCGCGAAAGGGTGCGAGGAGGAGGGCCAAGACCAAGACCAGGCAACGCGGGGGGGGGGGGGGGGCTACCTGGGCCAGAGGCGGGGCACAAAACTGGAAGACCCTCACAGAAGCCGAAGCATAGTCTCTACCTGAATTACGTCGGGGGCGGAAGCCAACCATATCCAAACCACTCTAAGGGGGCGCAGGAGGAGGGCCGCCCCGCTGCGAGAACTACCAGACAACTTCACACTTTCAAAACGAAAGAACAAAGCTTCACTCCGTCCAAACTAAACATGGCAGAAAACTGCTCAACAATTTGTTGCTTGAAATGGGCCATTGGTTTTGCGAGGTTTCATTCACATGGGCGAATGCTTGCTGGGGGGGGGGCTGCGCGTTCCGATCACCCTAGCAATCGCGTGGTCACGTTCAGGGGATTTACGTGTGAAGGGATAGGCGAACACTCGGATCCTTATCCCTTTTGACATACAAGCCGCGTGCTCGCCCTGCTCCTCCCCCTTCGTTCCCCCCCCCCCCCTCGTCGGACGAGGAAGGGGGGGAGGAGAAGGAGGAGGAGGAGGGGAGGAAGAGGAGGAGGAGGAGGAGGAGGAAGAAGAGGAGCCCATCGCATTAAGAGTCAATCCGAAACCTGTGAGATCTACTCTGAATCGCCTCCCTCCGGGAGGGAACGCAGAGAGGGCGAGGCCTTGCGTATTAGAGCGGGATACGTGGGAGGTCCCCGGGGCACGCGAGGACAGCGCAGACGAACAAAAATGATCCCGAAGAACGGGGAGAAGAAATCCTCACAAAAAATGGCCTTCGTCCTCACAATTTTAATTCGCCGGCCCCCTTCGACCTCGTTTTTTATGGCAAAAGAAATTCGCTGGCCCCCTTCAAGTAAAAACCGTGGGTAAACCTACTAAAAGAGAACCCTGGGCTCAGGCCCTTTCCGGGAACAAAAATGACCCCGAAGAACGGGGAGAAGAAAGAGGGAACCACAGTTGAAGGCACTGCTAACGTGCAGAATGCTTCGCTAACCAAATAGAAGCCGACGTCCAACGTGGAGGAACGCAGCGAACGAGACTCTGGTCAGCAGAGGCCCACATGTAGCCGTCGTCGCGCTGGAGCTCATCAGGGCGACGCCCCTCGGGCAGGAGCGCATCATGGGGCGCGCAGCAGGCAGTGACACGCGACCCGGGACCTCGCGCACCCGTTCGAGCCGAGCTTGTCGCAAAGCGGCTGCCTCGTCACCAGAAGCGCCGGACCAGCAGAATAGCACATTAGAACGTTGAACATCATGGTCAGGTTCGTCCGCCCGTTCGCGTAGAGCTGCGCGCCCTTGGCAAGCCCAGTCCAGATCGGACACGTCTTCTGTCGTATCAACTTGCACGGGAGGGGGGGAGGAGGGGGAGGGAGAGGGGGAGGGGGAAGAGGTTGGGGGCAGGAAAGAGTCCCGAGGCCTCCAGGCGGGCGACAGCGCCACGCTCTTTCGCCCGCGACGGCGCACCGCGGGAGCGCCGTTCGCCCCAGCGCGCACGCGTCGGCGCGCCTAAGGGGGAGGAGGAGGAGGAGGAGGAGGAGGAGGAGGAGGAGGAGGAGGAGAAGGAGGAGGAGGAGGAGGAGGAGGAGGAGGAGGAGGAGTCAGGGAGAAGGAGGAGGGCTAGGACGTCGCGCAGCAACTTCACCGACGCCCCGAGGAACTCCACCATTGACCTGCTCGGCGTCGCGGTCCTCAGCCTGCGCCGGCGGGGGCGCTGCGCCGGGGCCACCAGCGGGTGGCCCCTCTCGACCATCACCGCGTTGCCCATCGTGCTGCAGCCCTTCACGTTGGAGATCACCAGGGCAAAGTTGTCCATTGGATCTCACGCCGGGGATAGGTTCAAGGCTGCGCGCCAACTGTGTGATAGTCGCCAGAACCGGCTCCTGAGTGGACTGTAGGGCCGCCTTGGCATGTAGACTATGACAGCGGATAGCGTCTTCCACGAGTTGCCGAACACAGAGGACGACGCCAGCTTTGAGCTTCTGAATCGCTGAGCTCGTTCCTCGTAGTCCAGCCGAGCCTTCAGCGCATCATCCTGCACGGGGGCGTTCCGATGCAGAGCAACGTCGGGAGCGCGCGCCTCTGCTCGCCCAAGCGAGGCCATTGAGAATCCCAGTCGTGCAGTTCTGAGTTTCAGCAAGTCTGTGCCGCTGCCAAGAATCACCCGCCACGAGACCAGCAACATTGCCATCCTCTACACCATTCGTTGTGGCAGCCGCGCCCGCGGCAGAATCGCATGCGCTAGCAGCGTGGACATGGTCGCCCACAGCTGCGGTCGAAATCGCCGAACCTACACCTCCACCGGCCACATCCGCAGGAGAGCATCCTCCCCTAAGGGCAACATGTTCGCCATCGTCCTGGTCCGAACCATCGACAAGGAGAATAGCCTTACAAGTCGCAGCCACCATCGCGGCAGACCTCTGGGGCGAGAGGCGATTGTGAGAAAAGATCCCCCCGCGCGCGGCAGTTCATCCTTGGCGCCTCTAAGATGGCAGAGACCAGCGCGAAGTCTCCCACCATAGCGCTCTCAGCACGCATTGCAAGAAGTGGGCGGTACCGCGAACAAAGCGCACGTCTGGAAACGCAACGGGCAGCCAGGGCGGCGGAGGCAGCGCCGGGAGTGCCGCCCAGGTCCAAGAACCTGCACGCGCGATATGGCCCACTGAAGAAGAAGCGCCCGAAGTAAATCTCCGTCTTCCGCGAGAGGCGTGCCCATGTTATTGTTTAACACCTCCCTCTGGAGATGCGCCCGGGCACGGGGCTGGGCGCCGCCCAGCCAATCGCGCGGCCCTGGGTCAGAAGCCGCGCCGCGGCATGACCCGACATTCCCCCGCTGGAGAGACCTCCAGGGCTACCCGCCACCGCGACGCAGCGGGGCAGCTGGCGCGAGGCCTGGCTCGGCCAAGGCCACTGCGTCCGATGGAGAGGGGCTGCCGCCTTGTTCCCACCAGCACTGCTTTACCAGCCTCGAACGTACCCCTACCCCTAAGATTGACACGCCAAAAGGCGATGACAATTTTCGGGATTCGCCGTCAAAAAATAAGGGAACCCCTAAAATTGGCACCGCGATGAGGAAGTGCCCAGCACAGGGATAGGGATACTTATGTTCCAGGCTGGTAACTGCTTGCGTTCAGGGGTTCTTGCCCGTGGTCGAAAGAGCTGGGCCCGGGCGTCGGTCTGACGGCCCCGCCCTCGCCCCTGTCGCCGCCCCGCGCACCGCGCGGCGTGAGTTGCGTCGCGCGCGGCCCCCTGCGAAGGGCCCCCCCCCCCCCCGGCCCGGGGCTATCGCCCACGCTGGGGGCGCGCAATTTGCGGGCGATCCTGCCCCATCGCTCCTTCCAACTGTGGATCCGCACTACCCGAACCCAAACGCCCCCCCCCTCTGCCGCCCACCACCTCTGTCAAACAAATATGATCGCCTTCTCTTTTTTTATCCAGATTGGCGACGTTTTCAACTGATACAAAAAATGGCACAAGGAATGCGCACTACGCGCGCGCATCGTCGCTCGCGCATGGCAACATATGTCAAACATCGCGGTTTTCGCCAGGGTGTACAAGTCGAGTAGCCCGACAACACATGCAACAAACGCGCGGTTTTCCCCGAAACGGACGCGCGTGCTCCTGCGAGTCTTTCGAGCAGAACTTGTTTTGCAAATTCTCATCAGACAAAACGGGCGTCTCGAGCGCGCGCGCGGCGACGTGACTTGCACACTTTCGCGCGCATGTCGGGGGGGGGCTGGGCGCGACCCCCGTCTGACAATGCCGCGCGGGCAACTCGCGCCCGTCGGTCGCGCGCGCATGCCGAAAGCCGCCCAAAACCTTCATCGCCGACACGCGGGCATCATCATCGCCATCGGCGCGGTCAGCATCGGCGCCGCCATTGGCATTGTCGTCGTCGTCACCGTCAGCAGCAGCATCGTCGCCATTGCCATCGTCGCGCCCGGCGCCTTCAACGTCGCCACGATGCCGCGCCCGCCCGGGCCACCGACTCGCACTATTGGGCCCTCGCGTCAGCGCGGCCTGCGAGACGCGCCGAGAAGTTCCCAGCGGCCAACGCCGCCGCGGCCGCGCCGGTCGCGCCAGACTAGCTGGCCGCTCTGCGCGCGAGCTTGCGCGCGCCCACGCGGCCGCAATGCCCCAGCCAGCGCCAAACTGCCATCGAAACCGCCGCCACATGGGCTTCGCAAGCCAAGTCGCTGGCGGACGGGTGGGACGATTGCGCGGCAATGGGTGCGACTACTCACTACGAACAAACATTAATCCCCCTCGCCCGGACTTAACTGTTCTGTTCTTCGCATTGCAATTTGCGTGTGATGCTGCCCCATCGCCCATCCTAAATCTGAGTTCGCTGCGCCCCGCCCAGCCAAGCCGGCATCGCACCCCCCTTTCATCCCCTGCAAAAAAATTATATGCGCGCGCACTCGTTCATCAAAACGCAGCAGTCTTCAGGGGCCCATTGAAAAAAAAACAAAAAAACAAAAAGCAAAGTGGACGCGCGCGCGCCGTCGCGCGCGCATGCCGAAAAATTGAATAAACGAATACATAAATATAAACCTAAGGTGTCGCGAGGGTTTTCAAAATAGGGCGCCCCGGCAACATATGAAAAGCAATGGTTTCGCAGCAAGAGCGCTCAAAGAAAACAGCCTGCGCCCGCGCTCTTTCGAATTCAAGGAAAGGGCACGGCGGTTGTTTTACGGGTCCATGACATGCTACCAAACAGTCCTTTCGCGCAGGCGGGTCGGAATCGCACGGTTGCCCTTGCGCGCGCGCTGCCGCAAGAACCCCTTGCAACGAAGCGGGGGGAAGTGCGCGCGCGTCGTCGCGCGCGCCGAACTCCTACGAAAACCCTAGGCGTCGCATGTCGAAATCATTCGAACGCCCTTGCGCGCGCGCGCTGAGGGGGGAGACGCGATACGCGTCTAATAATATCGCGCGGGCCACTCTCGCGCGTCGCTCGCGCGCGCGTCGAACTCCTTCCGACGCCTTCATGGCCGACGCGAGGGCGCCGTCATATTCGCCGACGCGATGAGCATCGGCGCCGTCACTGGCCGCGCCGCCGTCGTTGTAATCATCGCCACCAGCGTCGCAACTATCATCGTCGCGTCTGCCGATGTCGACGTCGCCATGATAGCGCCCGCCCAGGTCGCCGACTCGCACTGAAGCGCCCGCTGGGAAATGCCCGGAGGCCAACGCCACCGCGACCGCTCGGTCGCGCCAAATGTGCCGGCAGCTGCGCGCGCGAGCACGCGCGCGCGCGGCCGCGGCGACGCGCCAGCCAGCACCGAGCAGTCACCGCAATCGCCGCCGCATGGTCATGCAAATCTACTTGCGGGCGGGCGGGCGGGGCGATTGCGCGAGCAGTGGAACTGGCAACTTCAAGTTCGGCAGGGCGCATTGCGCCGCGTAGGTTCCCCTCTGCGAACAGAAATTAGCATGCGCCCCCGTCGCCCCCCCCAGCTTGGCCCGTTCCCATTGGGATCATGCAACTGACGTGCGATTCTGCCCCATCGCTCGCTTTCTCTATGAATGCACACCACCCAAACCGGCGCCCTCATTGCCCTCCCGCCCCCCCCCCCCGCGCGCGCGCCGCGTCCCCGCCCCCCGTCCTCGCCGGCCACATGTCACGACGCGCGCGCGCTCGTTGATCGAACGCAACCCGTCCACTTTCACGGGCCCCTCGCCGCTTCCACTTGCGACAGACCACGCCATGCGCACTAATGAATACCGCGCCGCGGGCACCTCATTCGGCGGGGCCCCCGGGGGGCCGCGAAGATGCGAGGGGCGCGCCCAAAGGGGCGGGGGGGCGCATGTGGGCCGCGCCACTGGGGCCTTCGGCGGAGCTCGCCACGGGGCCGCGAAGCGCGCGAGTGGGCGCGCCGACACGGGCGGGGAAACGCCCGTGGACGTCGCCACGAAAGCCCTCGACTGAGCCCCTGCGGGGCCGCAAAACGCACGAGAGGCGAGCCGTAAAAATGGGAAAGGAAACGCGCGTGGACGTTGCCACTGGGGCCTCGGTGGAGCTCACTGCGAGGCCGCGACGCGTGCATGGATAATTTCGAGATCGGCGGGGAGCGGGGAACCGCGCGCGGCCTGCGCCGCCAGGACTTCGGCGGGGCCCCTCACGGGGCCGCGAAGCGCGCGATGGGCGCGCTCGAGCGGGCGGGGACTCGCGCCTGGACTTTGCCGCGGGGGGCCTTCGGTGGGGCACCCCTACGGGCGCGCGAAGCGCGCGAAGGGCGCGCCGAAATTGGCGTGGAACCGCGCGCGGGCCGCGCCGCTGGAGCCTTCGGCGGGGCCACCCATGGGGCCGCGAAGCGTGCGAGAGGCGCGCCGAAATTTGGCGGGGAGCCGTGCGCGGACTTGGCCGCGGGGGCCTTTGGCGAAGCTACTTGCGGGGCCACGATGCGCGCGAGGGGCGCGCTCAAATTGACGGCGCACCGCGCGTGGACAGCGCCGCCAGGGCCTTCGGTGGAGCTCCCCGTAGGGCCGCGAAGCGCGCGAGGGGCGCGCCGAAAAAGTGGGCCGGCGGACGACGGAGGCAAGGTTTGGGGGAGGAAGGGGGGCGGGGGGGGGAGAGGGCGCGCGGGGCGCCGTGTCTCCGGAGCGAAGGCCCAGCGCCGCAGGGCGGCTGGGGAAAACAGAAACAAACAAATTCCACGCGGTCGCGGGGTCGCTCGCGCGCGCGAAAAACATGCGCAACCGCTAGCATTGCAACGCGACTGCCCGCGAAAATCTGGGCGCGCCCTTGCGGACGCATGAGACAAACTTATGTTCTCAACATTTCCATCAAATATGACCGCGCGGGCCTGCCGTGCA